AAAAAACAAGTTCTATAAATGCTGATATTATCCACCAATTGCAATATTAAAAGTTGAAACTGAGGCAGAATGGAATGGAGATAAACATATGCACGCGGGAGCAACATACCTCCAGTTTACTTACGTACTTGCTCCAAGTCTGGATTTTGGTACCTCTTTAATATCTTCTGGATAATCTCGGATGATAGTTGTTTGCTGTGATTTATTTGATCCAGAAAGCATGTTTTTCATAATAAATACACTGAATTGAAAAACGAAAAAGAAGTTGATGCTAAATGATACCTGAAAAAATAAACCCATTGAATTGGATAGAGCTTCTGGAGCCAAATCTACAAACCCATATGCATGAGAAAGTTTGGAAAAACTTAATCCAACAAGCCCTGCTGCATAGTGGCAATGTTCATCATAGTCATCCATTGTTTCGATCTGGAAGATGGGAGAAGCTTGACTAGTATCACATCAGAGATAGAATACATACCAAATTGGTGTTTCTGCAGAGCAAACTATGTTAATTTAGCTCCTGAGCTAAATTATGAAGTTTCTGATACATCTTATGCGGCAATGTGGAAGGGGCCAATCAGCACTCATCACTCCATTACTGAAAACTAATTTCCTATTTAATATTAAGTTATTCCTTATTAATATAAATACAACCCAAAAGAACTATGACTTAATTGATAATGAAGTTTATCCCTCACTTTATTGATCAAGATTTAATTCTTTAAGGAGACTAATAAAAAGATAATTCTTTAAGAATTCCCTTATCTTGAAGTAAATGATCTACCTTTAATTGAACAAAGGAAGGACAGTCTTGAAGTATATGCAAGCTAATCTAAAAACACCTTAATCGTTAAATCAAAAAAAAGAAAAAGAAAAAGAAAAATTAAGCATGATACATTCATCACCAACCTCCTTGCAAATATATTTTGCCATTCCTGCACCCATTATTCTTCTCTTCAATTGCCTCTTGACAACTAGAGATTAAGTAACCATAAAAGGAATGGTCAAGTTGGCTCAACATGGACCTATTTGCCTGTGTGTGGAAACAAGATTTTACTTAGGCTAAAATACTAATTTGGTCCCTCAACTTTGAGATTTATATCAAAAT